TCCTTTATCAAATATAAGATAGTTGTAGCTTTGTGGATTAGTCTCTGTGTCCTCTATTCTGTACCATTGGTCCACCCGCCTGTTTTGGTACCAGTACCATGCTGTCTTTGTTACTATTGCTCTGTAATATAGTTTGAAATCTGGTATCGCTATACCGCCTGATTCACGCTTCCTGCTTAGAATTGCTTTTGCTATTCTGGGTCTTTTATTTTTCCATATGAATTTAGAAAATAGTTTTTTGATGCCAGAAAGCAGGTTCTTTGTTCTTCACTCTTGTGCTATGCTCTCAGCATTTATTGAACCAGGCAATAACAGTAATTCCCAAAATGACTTCTTAAGCCGATCAGATTTTATTATCCTTAAAAGGCTTTCAAATATGTGCTTTCAGTGTGCTTTGGACCAGATTTCTTAGTGGTACACAGTGAAAATATCAAAAGTATAAAATCAAATCTTGTTGATAAATCCTTGAACAAAGAACATGTAAACATACTAATGCAAAAGCATCTGGAAACTGAAGTTATACCAACCTCATAAATTATTCAGTTTATGAAATTTCTAGTCTATAAAATTTTTACATAATGGTATCCCAGGTAATTATGTGTCTGACAAATCAGTAGGAAAACCTCAAAAACTTATACTAATTTGCTGTAACTAATGATTAGAGATTTTTCTAACAATAACTTAATATAAAATTATTACAAATGTTCCTCCATATAAAAACTAACAAATAAAGATCAAACTGGGCCCTTTTTTTTAATGGCTAAAAGTAGTTTTAGTAAACCTTGACTTTGTGATACTAATCTACATTGCATTGTTTACTACTTTTAACAAAGTCAGACTAATGTCCTGAATTTATATAACAAAGCCAGGATTCTTGCCCTGGTTGAGAGGTTTTAGTTGGGAAGATTGTGGACTAGTCATTACCCTATCTCAAAGGCCTCAGCTTTCTATAATATACCTTTTGATCTCATCTTTTCAACCCTAAAGATATTAGCTAAAACAAACTATTTCATGAGAGTCTCCGTATTTAATGAGAATTTGTACATGCATTATGTTTGAAATCTTTTTTGAAATTCCAGTTTTCCTTCATGACAATTATGGATGCATAATTTTAAGAGGGAAACTTGAAAAATGTGTAATGTGTTACAATTATTCTTTTAAAATATATTCCTCTAGGTGGCACATATCCGAGCAGAAAGAGATATTTTGGTGGAAGCAGATGGTGCCTGGGTGGTGAAGATGTTTTACAGTTTTCAGGATAAGAGGAACCTTTATCTCATCATGGAATTTCTACCTGGAGGTAAAGAAAACATTATAGCAATGACAAGCTGACCAAGCATATCTTTATATGTAATAATAACTTTGTTGATTAGGTTTACTTTTATAGTTCTAGTTATGGGGTTTATATACTCACAGTTTTTCAGAATTTCCTTGTATAATAATATTCATTTTGACCACAAATCAGGTCAAATCAAATCAAATTTTGAAGGAATGATTAGATTGGTACATTTTAAATACTACCATTCTGGGTTCACTGCAACCCTTAGATTGTTATAAGTGTAGAGTTAAAACAAAAAGCCAATAAAATAAAAACACAAATACCCAGCAGGAAAATGACTGACAGTGTACAGAAGAGAAACTCTGGCTGCTTTATATAGGAAAATGTTCACCTTCACCTATATTCAGGGAAATGCTATTTTTTTCTTTTTCTTTCTTTCTTTCTTTTTTTTTTTTTTTGTATGTGTGTGTGTGTGTGAGTGTGTGTGTGTGTTGCTGGGGATTGAACCCAGGGCCTTGTGCATACAAGGTAAACACTCTACCAACTGAGCTATATCCCCAGCCCCAGTGAAATGCAATGTAAATAGGAATGATATATCATTTCACACTCATCAGATTATCAAAAGCCTTCAAGTCTGATAAYAATGAATATTGATAAGACTGTAGAAGATACTGACCTCCTGTAAGTAGATCTCTAACTTTGATGGAGAGCAATTTGGAGATGTTCAGTGAATCTGAAAATGCATGTGGCCTATGATCCAGTACTTTCACAACCAGCTGTTCTCCCTGGAGATTCTCCCTACATGTGCACAAGAAATATGCAAAAGAATGCTTATGGCAGCATCAGCATAATAGTGAAAAACTACATTCAAGACAAATGCCTGTCATTAGAAGTATAGAACAATAAAATCTGTCCAAATTATGTGATGGAAATTTTTTAACTGTAATTAAAAGTCATAAGCTCTATCTGATTCCACAGTAAAATTCAGAAACAGTGGAATGAAATAAAAATAAGCTGTGAAATTACACATAATTTGATAGTATTTAGGTAAAATTTTAAAAACCCAAAACTATAAATTTCTAATACATACATATGTGAAACCATATTTTATAAATAAGCCGTAAGGATACACACCAAACCAAATCTATCCRTTGTTACTCAGCTAAGAGGGAATGGGAAATAGAATGGGAGTGGAGGACAAAGAATACTTCTATATAGTCTTTTTTTAAAAAGACTCAAAGCAGATATGAGAAAATATTAKCAGTTATCAATTCTGTGTTGCAAATGCACTAGTTCTTACAGTACTAAAAACTACTTATTATTTGCCCTTTTTTAAAGGAAAAATTTTCTTGAAAATAAAAGACTGCCTAGAAGTGATTTCTTAAAGTGAGCTAATGTTCTATTTTCTTTGGACTAAGGAGCTCAGGCTATTTTTGAAATTTTAAAGAGTATGTCTGGTTTYCTGCTGTGTTTATTTTGATTCTTTTTGCAGTTTGACTTATTTTCTTCAGCAACTTATTCTGAATGGAGTTATATTTCTTCATCAGCTTCTATGAGCTCTGTTCTGATTTGGTTTCAAAAAACTCTCTACTCTAAAACCATTGCATGTCATCAAAATTTGCTTATGCAACGTGACTTTTGTTTAGCTCCAGAGATGGTTAGAGGTGTACTGGGTGGATCACAAAATGCCAAATCAGACATACATTGTAAAAATACAAAGAAAGCTTTTGTAGGGTATTTCCTCTCCTTTTGAAGCATTTTCAGTAACATGAKGCTTCCCTTTTCTTAGGTGACATGATGACATTGTTAATGAAGAAGGATACCTTGACAGAAGAGGAAACACAGTTCTACATTTCAGAGACTGTTCTGGCAATAGATGCAATCCACCAGTTGGGCTTCATCCATCGGGATATCAAGCCAGACAACCTCTTATTGGATGCCAAGGCATGTGCATAAACCGGTGAATTATGAGGTTGCTGATTAGTTTATAGAGTAAAGCTGGTTTTATGATTAAAAATATACAACTGTAATTTGAATTATTRCTAAACTACATTATTTCAGAACAGCACAATAGGAGAGGCCTCTGGAGTGGAATGTATCATGGGGATATGATTTTTTTTTTATTTTTATTTTTTGCAGTGCTGGGGATAAATCCATGGTTTTTTTTTTTTTTTAATCTCCTTCCATTTTATGCTTTAAAAAAAATCATCCTCCTCCAATATTTCTAAGTTTACATTTTTATCTGTATGAATTTTAAGCCAAAGATTTTAATAATAATTGCATTTAAAAGAGGAGTTTATAATAAGGCCTTTTTTTCAAAGTTGATATAATCTGGTTTTACTGAAATTTTTTTTAGGGACATGTAAAATTATCTGATTTTGGTTTATGCACGGGGTTAAAGAAAGCTCACAGGACTGAATTCTACAGAAATCTTACACACAACCCACCAAGTGACTTCTGTAAGTTTGCTTTTTTATTTTGATTAAGATATTATAGCTGGTTTAATACAGTACTGTTAAGAAATGATAATTTTCTCCCTTCCTCTCCCCACTCAACTGAATTTACCTTGTGTTTTAGATGTTTATATGTGATTTGTCTTTTGCTAAGAGTTTTCCCCTCGTGATTATAATTCTGTCTTGTTGAAATTAGCATTTCAGAACATGAACTCAAAGAGGAAAGCGGAAACATGGAAGAAAAACAGGAGACAACTGGTGAGTTAACCACATTTTCAAGAGAGAATTTTGTGTGCTGGTCCTAAAATCTCATCTGTTTTCTACTTTRTTGTTTTGTCTTCACAGTGATTAGTACTCCCTTCAATGATGGTGCTTATTCTGGGCTCACATAGTTTTCTGTTTCTTTTTATGATTTCCTTGCCTATAAAGCAAACTAGAAAAATCTACTTTATGATTTAATTTTAGAGTACTTTATTGACAATTAATATGAATAAGTAATTCATCTGTTTAATAGTAATTAGCACTGTAAATAAAACATACTGAGTGTGTGAATGGCATGGGATTTCCATTTCCTCATTTTCTGTGCTGTGATATAAATCCTGATATAACAAATAACAATTGTAAAAAAGTGGTTGCCCTTTTCTATGAACTTCTTTAGAGATCAAGTAAATAGGAAATTTGGGATTTCAACAGTGTTATGATAGAATAGATACAAAACTGCCTCAAGCTGGGTATGGTGGAGCATGCCTATAATCCCAGCATCTTGAGAGGCTTCAACAGCAGGATCACAGGTTTGAGGCCAGCCTCCAAAATTTATCGARACTCTCAGCAACTTAGTGAGATCTTTTCTCAAAACAAAATGTAATGGGCTGGGGTTGTGGCTCAGTGGTAGAACACTTGTCTAGCATGTGTGAGGCACTGGGTTTGATTCTCAGCATTGCATATAAATGTACAAAATAAAGGTCCAAATAAAATAACACCACCTTTGTTTAAAAAAAAAAAAGTAAAGTGGTTCATACCTGTAATCCCAGCAGCTCAGGAGGCTGAGGTAGGAAGATCTTGAGCTCAAAGCCAGCCTCCGCAAAAGTGAGGTGCTGACTAACTCAGTGAGACCCTGTCTCTAAATAAAATACAAAATAGGGCTGGGGGATGTGGCTCAGTAGTTGAGTATCAATCCCCAGTACAAAAAAAAAAAAAAGAAGAAGAAGTAAAAAAGGGCTTGGGATGTAGCTCAGCGATAAAATGCCCCTGGATTATATCCCCAGTAACCAACCCTCCCACCCCCCCAAAAAAATTGCCACAGGTAAACTTCATTATTCCATTAATGTAGAATTACACTACTTTTAACCCCATACTATTTCTCCTCTGTTACTTAGCAAATTTATAAGAATTGTTTCCCCCTTTTCCTCTTTCCCTTTATCCAGAACCATGAACATTCGTAAGATGAAGAATGTGCCTTTTGACTTTGTTTTTCCACCTTCTCATACATGTAGATACTCAATAAATATTTGTTCACTTCAACCAAGTAATGAATGGGGATTCTAACTCACCATTCCTTTAGGGAAGTAAATAGACTGAAAAATAATAGTTTGACACCCTCTAAAACCAAATAAACAACCTTTGCATGATTTAACTTATTCTCTTATTAGACCAAGTAATTGAAAACTCTTGTAAAAACAGTCCAGTGTTTTTTATTTTTTTTTATTTTTTTATTTTTTATAATTTTTTTTTATTGGTTGTTCACAACATTACAAAGCTCTTGACATATCATATTTCATACATTAGATTGAAGTGGGTTATGAACTCCCAATTTTACCCCAGATGCAGATTRCAGAATCACGTCGGTTACACATCCACAATTTTATATAATGCCCTATTAGTAATTGTTGTATTCTGCTACCTTTCCTATCCCCTACAGTCCAGTGTTTTTTAAATGTATTGAGCTATGCATTGAGGAAAACTCCATTCTGCTTTTCAATGTGTCACTTTTAGGTCATATTTTACAGCTGAGAAAAGAATTGCAGTATTGTCTACTTTTAAAGGAAAATAATGAATACTGGCTAAAAATATCATAGGAGAATTCTTTACCTCCTATTTACAGAGTTTTCAAAGGTAATCATAGGTTAATGTTCTCATGGCCAATAGTTATCCTGTGTTGTATCAGGGTTTCCCAAGGAAGAAGTAAAAAAGTACTTTATTACTATTTAGGACAGGAAATTTCCTCTGCCCACTAACTGCCAATCATGTCTTCTCCTATATTGTTGAGATGACAAAATCTGCTTGTTACATCAGAAATAGCACCTAGCTCTCATTGAGAACTACTCCTTAAAAACAATTTACTAAGAATGAAGCCAGGTGCAGTGAAGCAGAGACGAAGGCAGGAGGATCAAAAGTTCAAAGCCAGCCTCAGCAATTAATCGAGACCCTAAGCAATTTAGCAAGACCCTGTTGTGGCAGGTTTTATTACCACAGATTTTTGTAAGCAGAAGCTGAGGCTCTGAGAGCTTAAATAACTTGCCCAAGAACACAATTGTAGTGACAGGGCAGCCCGGGTTCAACCTTTTCATTCTGTTTTGAGATGGACTTAGGGCTACACATATAATGATTTAGTTGAGCATCTTAGGAAGCAGAAATCATGTATTCTGTAACATAGAATCTGACTCACCTTGCATATGATAAACATATGGAATAAGTTATTAAAGGGAAAATTAACTTCTTTAAACTTTACTTTTTTCAGTAGTAAATCATACTCAGGTGGTTGGGATTTTTTTTGTTTTATTGTTTTTTGTTTTTTAAATGTTCTGAATGTTGGTTTGATAAGCTGCTCCTTTGCAGGCATATTCCACAGTTGGGACACCAGATTACATTGCTCCAGAAGTCTTTATGCAGACTGGTTACAACAAGTTGTGTGACTGGTGGTCTTTGGGAGTGATTATGTATGAAATGTTAATAGGTATGTTCTGTSGTTAACTTGCGTTACCTTGAGTGCTATTGTTTGAACATGTTACGGATATCATGGGCTAAAGTAGTTTAACTACTTTAAACCTATTTCTAACCTTCTGCAATGTTAAATATTACCAAATACCAAAGGACTCTTTAGGGATCCTATTGAAGGAAGGCAGGTATTTACCTGGACATTCATGTATCTGCATGACTTTTCAGGTAAAATAAGGAAGAGGGGTACTTTAAATCCTTTATTGACTCTATTGGCAATTTTATTGTAAATTGATGAATGGTGGTATTTTTTAAATTAGATACAGCATTCAGCATTGTTTCTTGTGGCACGTATTTAGTAGGTACAATTTAATTAATCACAAAAGCTGACAAAGCTTTTGTTTTTCTTTGTGACATGTAGGCTATCCACCTTTCTGCTCCGAAACGCCTCAAGAAACATACAGAAAAGTGATGAATTGGAAAGAAACTCTAGTATTTCCTCCAGAAGTACCTATTTCTGAGAAAGCCAAGGATTTAATTCTCAGGTTAGTGTTTAAACCCCTAGAGGAGTTCAGGGTGTCTTAACACTTCACAGGTACCCAAAAGATCTGTTTCACTTTTGTGTGTCAAGAGAGGATACCACTGATCTACATAGCCAAAGAAGTCAATAAAGAAAAGGGTTTTTGGGKTTTTTTTTTTTAAATGTAAACTCTTAAAAGGAAGTTTGCAATGGAAAAAAGTAGGAGTCAAGAAGAGGGAAGAAGTCTTGTATTGTTTCAGGGACTGATACACATTAAAAGCAAAATGTCACTCACTCCTGTTAGAATGCAGTGACCTAATCCTATTAAAGAGAAGAGGGAAAGGAAATTTGTTAGTGGTAGGAACTCCTTTTTATGAAAGTCTGTATATGAAATCATCTAAGCAAAAGATTCTATTCTGTTCTATAACTAAGATGTATTTTGGTACTGCTGTGAAGAGCTGGAAGGATTATAAATGGAACAACCTGTGAGAACAGCCTGTCAGTAAAAAATCTTTAAACTATATATGACCTTAGACCTAGTGACTCTGCTTTTAGAGTTTTGCTTATGCAAATAATTTGATGTATATAAACATTTAAGTATGTTTATCTTGATATTGTTTTAGTCATGAAAAATTGGAAACCATCTAAATGTTCAATAACAGCAGACTGGCTACATACATTGTAATTTATAATAGTTATCCCTAAATACTACAATTATGGGTGATTTTTATTTTCTCCCACATTTTCCACAATAAACATAGTAAACTTCAAAAAAAAAATTGTAATGCTTTAAAAAAATAAAAAAATAACACTGAGTACTTTAGATATAATTTGTATATAATTTGTTTTCTTGTTATAGATTTTGTACTGATTCTGAAAATAGAATTGGGAATAGTGGAGTAGAAGAAATAAAAAGTCACCCCTTTTTTGAAGGCGTAGACTGGGGGCATATAAGGTATGTTGCTGGACTTTGGGGAGAAGTCTGAGTATTATGAGTTTCTAGATTTGGTGATTAATTTACCTTCAATTCTGCTAGATTACCCCTAGCAGAAGAAGTACCACTATTATAATGTTATCAAGTCAGTGTTTTCTGGGTTATATAAGTGAGATTATACTGGCTATATAGCTAAATGACTTATCATAGGCTAATGTCCACTGTAAAGGAAAAAAACACATTTTGCTTTTTAGAACCTTCTACTTAATATCTTAGTACCTTTTACATAATCTGGTAAACTTAACACCCAATGTATTCATTAAAATATTGTTGAAAATTCCTTAATGTAAGCCAGGTGTGGTGGCACACACCGGTAATACGAGCAGCTTGGGAGGCTGAGGTAGGAGGATCTTGAATTCAAAGCCAGCCTCCACAAAAGTGAGGTGCTGACCAACTCAGTGAGACCCTGTCTCTAAATAAAATACAAAACAGGCCTGGGGATGTGGCTCCTGAGGTCAATCCACAGTATCCCACCCTCTAAAAAATATACAATAAAAACTGATAGTTTCTTTTAATGATTTTTATAGCCAAATATTTTTAACATGATAAGAAGACACTTTCAGGGTCTGGGGTTGTAGCTCAGTGGTTGAACACTTGCCTTACATGCGTAAGGCATTGGGTTCAAGCCTCGGCCACCAAATAAATAAATAAATAAAGATATATGTCCATCTATGACTAAAAAAAAAAAAATATTTAAAAAAAAAAGAAGGCAAAAAAAGAAAGGCATATTCATGACTATTTTTTTTAAAAAAAACCTAATATTCTTGATTCTCTTGAAATTCATACAACTGAGAAGTATTTGCATTCACATTTCATCACAAATATGTAGTACCTTGTTTTCGCAAATAACTTTGAATTTTTGGATCTTCTACTAGAAGAATTCTAGTCCTTAATTACTTAAGTAGGATCCAGTCCTCACAATATCCTATTTTATATAACTGTAAAATCACTCACTCTTTTTCTACTTAAAAATAGCATGAAAAAGTCTTGGTACAAGAATTTTAAAATTCTAAGTAAATGAAAACATTTTTGTAAAAATTTATACTCAACTATTTTGAAATCCACTGAACTATTCTCATATCCACAATAAATGTCATTGACCTTTTTAATTAGAAAATAGCACACAAGATTTGTAAGAATTATTTGTTGGAAAATAAAGAATTCAGGAAAATTTCCCATGGTTACTCAGTACCTTATTTTACAGGGAAAGGCCAGCAGCAATCCCTATAGAAATCAAGAGCATTGATGACACTTCAAATTTTGATGACTTCCCTGAATCTGATATCTTACAACCAGGTAAGATAATCTTATAACTCATGCTATTAAAAGTCTATGAAGATGACATTTTACTAATGAAATTTCTATATTCTTGGTTAATTTTTCTATCTTTCTAGTGCCAAATACCACAGAACCAGACTATAAATCCAAAGACTGGGTCTTTCTCAATTATACCTACAAAAGGTTTGAAGGGTTGACTCAGCGTGGCTCTATCCCCACCTACATGAAAGCTGGGAAATTATGAATGAAGATCACAGTCACCCATAACCAAGAGAACTCAGGTAGCTGCATCACCAGGCTTGCTTGGCATAGGTAACAAGACACTGAAATACCCTGAAGATGGTGGTGCTTATTGACTACAAGAGGAAATTCTACAGGATTAGGATTTCTAAGACTACTACAGGAATTGGTTGGCAGTGCCAGCTGGCTTTTTTTTTTTAATATTTTATTGATTTTGTTAACTTTATTATACGAAGGTACTGGAATAAAAGGAACGTACATCCCTTTGTAACTGCACTGCCTACATGCGTATTAAGGTCCATTCTGCCTGTGTGTGCTTTGGCTTTGAACTGTAACACCTCTAATCAATTCAGGAGAAATACATATCATTTAAAGCAGCATAGGCTAACCTGTAGGTAACACTGCAGTATTGCTGACTCACTGCAAATCTTATGGGTCTAGAAAATCAGTAAAAGCCATCTTCCATAGTTAGAACATTTGCCCTATTGGTTTGGACATCTGTAGAATATATATGAAGACAATTTCTATAATGGTTTTAAGAAATTTAAAAAGAGATACACTGGTTCTTTAAAAATAGAATTTTATCATCAAGTTATTACACAAACTCCACTGTAGGGAGTGACAAGTTTCTAATAAGGAAAAGGAAGTTTTAATACTTTCACTCAAGAACTCCACTAAGATATTTACTTTGTGGTCAGAAATACTGATGACCTTTATATACGTAGTCTGTATATTCATAGGGAGATGTACTGTATTATACAAAATGTAAAGTTGCTTTTTTTGTGACAAGAGGACTTCTTTTTTTAACAAGAAGACATGGCATTATTTTAATTTGATTATGGTGAGTTGAATTTCAGAAATGACYGTAAAGGCTGCTTGTAGAACCTAGCGTATTTTTATTAAACTATTTTTTTAAATGTCAGACTTCTGATTATGTAAATGGACTTATAAAGAACAAAGAGCAATTTACTTTGGTTTTATAGAAAGTTGTTACATATCATGGCTAGTTACCTTTTATTTCTTTTGATCAAATTTTTTCCTTTGATAGTACTTGTATTATTGTGCCATTATTTTCTTATGCTCCTCCAAATGTACCAAAGATCCTAAACAGAGTGGATGCTCACAGCGGAATAGAATTTTACTTTCCTATGGGAATGCTGTATTCAGACATGAAAGATCTCTCTCTGATGGAGGTCAGCTTATTTGAGGGCAGCACTATTTGGGTTGAGCTGCACCACTCTGGTTAATACCAATAGAAATAAGGAAGTAAATGCAGGCCAAGAGATTGTTATTAGAGGAAGAGAGCAAATGTCAGCATCAAATTCTTTGGGTATTTCTCTAAGAATTAAATAATCTTTTCTTGCTCAATATTTTAGTTCTAAAATGACTATCCCAAGGTTTTGGTTTCATATGTACTAGTTGAAGATAATACTTTATTAAAGAATGGCCTAATGTTTATCATAACTGTTAATTGATAGAATTATAAATGAATGATCTGTGATCAAAATCTAAAGTGATGATTTATTTGTAGGATGTCTTTCCTAAAGGGAAAGAATTACATAGGAGCATTATACAAATCTACAAAAACTGATGACTGTTGCTAAGTAAGTCCCAATGTTTCAGTAAGGCCATCCTGATGTGTCCCCCTCCTTTGGTTTGTTTCTTTATTTTTAAGCATTTGTTGAGTACTTTTTATGTGTTCATCTAGTAGTTCATCTCCATTTTTCTAGTTAGATCATGTGACTGAATATTTAGGAGAGAAAATTGTGAAAACTCTGGAGTTATCTCAATTTAACTGATTTTTCTAACTGCCTTTAATTTAAAAAAGAAAAAAAAAATCTTTAACTCTTGCTGGGGTTCGTGAGATTTTCTCTCTCCAACACATTCCCTTTTAAAAGGGATTTTAATCAGCAAAGATCCCTAGCTACTTGACATATTCTCTCTTTGAATTGTTAAAATTTAGAACATTTACAGTGACAATTTGCTGCAACCATGATTATTTCCTGTTTTCTTTATTTAAATTTCACATTTTCTTTTTAAAAAGGACTGTTTTGCTAGTGTGCTAATGAATAGTTAAGACACAAAGAAACTGCAATAGTCTGTAGTTTAAGTATCATAACTATGCTAGAACAGAAAGAATACCACTAATTCAAGTTGACTGAGAGACTGCAATCAATATAAGGAGCATATAAGAACAGAGCATTTTAGTTTTATTTCCTTCATTATTATCAGAAACAACTTAGAAATAGTTACGATTTCTTGGCATTAGAAGGGACATTTTGGAAAGTTTGCTTTGTTTAGAGCCTCATTCTTTGCTGGAGTTAATAGAGTGGTTCACATCTTTAGGGATTTCTCCTCATCAGAAGCGGTTCATAAGTGCCTCTCTTAAAGCAATTAAAGATTGTGTCTGCCCTCTGGAAGCTACGAATTTGATTCATGATGCAAATTAGCTAGATAATTTGCAAAGTACCCTTGAGATTGAATTTTCTCTATTATACATTTCCCAAACTTCAGGTGAATCATTTAATTTAAATAACAGAACCCTATCTAATCAACTGCACATAATGACATTTTCTTTAAATTAGACTCTATTTTGAATTAAAAGAATTTTATTATAAATTGTGTGCTTTTGGTTTTTAAGTATATAGAAAGCTTGTATAATTCAGATTTTTCGGTTTCCTGATTTAATGTAGACATTGACTTTTTTATTAAACCTTTGTATTAAATCAAATTATGATATTTTTCTTTTACGAATTTATTATATTAACATGGCTTTAATTCTTTAACTGTATTAAAGCATTGTGTTGTCTGAAAATAAGGAATCCACTTTCAAATCAGCCACTTCTAAAATGGAATATATAGTTGATCTAAGAAGCTAGTTAGCTTAATGGAAAGTACCAAATGTGGACTATATAAAATGTTCTTCGCTAAGGCTTCAGATAGGGTTTCACTTATTTCCATAATAGCATCATACTTCAATGTTTTGTGTTTTTTTTTAAACACCTGCATATCTTTATGTAAATCGAAGTTTTAAAATATTTTAAGTACATTTATTTTTGATGTTTTAGTGTAGAAAAGCTTTAGACAATTAGTCTCAACTGGTAGGAGAAACAAATATCTTTTGATGGTCTGCAAATAAATTAATTGAGGTTTTAATCAGTAAAGATCCCGAGCTACTAGAAACATTCTTTGAATTGTAAAAATTCAGAACATTCAAAATGACTGTTTTGCTGCATCCATGATTATTTCCTGTTTTCTTTATTTAAAATTTATTTTCTCTTTAGAAGTGCACTTATTTCTGAAAAATCTTAATGAAACAAACACTTAAAACAAATATAAAAACAAGACATTTGGGACTATTAGAGATATTTTAGATTTTTATGACAATGTGAGGGGATATTGCTGCTTTAAAAAGGAATAAAGTAATAAAAATATATCTTAGTTATTTTTTTAAAAGCAATACAATCCAGCAATTGTCTAGAAAAATAGTCATCAGGCTATTGAGTTCAGTGTTTCAAAAAAAAAAAAAAATGTTTTGGTGGCACGAGGGCTTTTTCACTGAAGGTAAGACAAAAATAAAAACTATGTTTACAAAATTTCTGTTGGTGAGGTGTTTTTGGTTTTATTTTTGAGTTTTGAGATAAGTGTTATCCAAAACTCAGGAAAGACTGTTTTGTGAATGTAAATTGCAGAACAACTACTATACTTAAGGATCACATCAAGAACAAAACAAACATTTGAAGTTTCATTTATATTCCATTTAAACTGTCAAGAGAGTTCCAGGTGTAGCTCAGCAGTAGAGCACTTACCTGCTTCACAAACAACAACAACAAAATCAGACAAGTTCATGTTTGAAATTGTTCAAATCTGTAGCTAAAAACATAACTGCACAAATTACAAATTCTACTTTTAGGCACTTGCTGGGCATATAGTTTATATACCCTACTAAATCAAAACCAATTAGCAAGCAGTATATTGAAAATGTCTCAAAATAACATGGAGGAGAAAGATATAAGTGGCTCAGATACCACTACATTCTGTCCTGTGGAAGACACTGACAGACAGTCAATCATGATCTGTTCTACCGAGCCCAGAGGGAGCCAGTCAATCCTATTCAGCCTTGTTGCACTCCAGCTCTTCCCTGACACACATCATTTTAATAATGCCATGGTAAGACAAAACAGAAAAATACTAAATGTCAGAATTTGGGCAAGAGAAGAAGCTTGGAAACTCTAAATTCAACTGTCAAACTTTATAAACAAGATGCTTTCACTTAACATGATTTGATTTTTAACAACTATTCTATAAAGAAAATTATCTTTCTATAGATTATAGTCATAAGACTGAGTGATTGTGATATATAAATATAGGTAGTAAACTACTCTGAAACCCAAATCCAGTGCACCTTCTCCTCCAAAACATACAGCATGCCTCATTGACAAATTACCCCCATATATTTCTTAGAATACAGAAGAATACATGGGGTAATGTTTCAAGAGTTGTTACTTAGAGTGCTCATTGTTACTGGGAGTTGGTACTTGGACTTCAGGGACGGAAGACACAGGTAAAAGTGACTTCAGCAATATAGAAAAATGAATATCTCACATAACAGGAAGACACAAGGCAGTCAATTCAGCATCTCAAAAACATCACTGACACAGGTTCTTTCCATTTTTTTTACTTTGCCATCCTTAAAGTGTTGGCTTTGTCCTTGGTCTCKTTCTCTCAGAAACTAGATAGCTGCAGGGACTCTGCATCCCATGACATATAAGGCCTTAAAAAGAAAATTCTGGGTCTGGGTGTGTGTGTCTCGGTGGTAGAGCATTTGCCTAGCATACACAAGGCCCTCAGTTTGACAAATAACCTTGTGTACCTCCTTTTTTGAATAGCAAGGAAAACCTTCCAAAAAATATTTTAAGCAAAGTAACCCTCACATCTTATTGGCCATGATTAGCTGTCCCTTACTAAGCCAGTGCTAGGCCTGACTATTGATTTAAATCAAGACTCACGTTCCTAGTATTGGATGAGGCTCACCTAAAGCATAAGTCCACATGGTACAAAATTAGGGTTATTCTGACAAGCTACAAGGTAACCAAAAGCGTGTCAGCTCTATGGCAGTGGTTCTTAACTGAAGCTGTAGCTCCTAGATTCTGTTGCTGGATGTGCATTGCCTATAAAAGAAGAGAAATCTGGTTCAGTGACATCTTTCCTGACCTATCTGTGAAACTGGATTATTGAGAACCATAGTGCTAGACCACAGCTCAGCAGCTTGGATTTGTTGGGTCTCTAGACATCAAACAAAAGAGGATGGACATATGGTCCAGTGACCAAGGCTTGCTCTCCTTAGTACTTTTGCCACTTCTCCCAGCTCCTGTTCATCAGCAGACTGTGTCTTTATTGGTCCATCTTCTCTAAAGCGGTTATAGTGGAAATAGAGAGCCTTGTCAATTTAGTTCCTTACCAGATCCAGCCAGGGGTGCAATGGTCTAATTACTGTTGGCTCAATTGCTTTATCTAAATTGGGAAGATGGGTTTTGACTAGCCTTTAAATTAAAAGGTTCATGATCAAACTCCCAAACATAGAATGACTTCAATCTCTGACAAAGGGAGAAACTCCTGATAGGAAAGGGAAGCTGTCCAGTTTGGGCCTAACATCTTTTATTATTCCTTGTCCTGTTAGGTAAAATAATCTTGAACAGAACCTGAAGAAACCTCCTGTACCCAGAGAACTAAGGAAGCCCTGAGACACCAGGCCTSCTTTAAGTGTCTAGAATCTACAAAAATAGATAATTAGTGCAGGCTTTGACATACACAATCCCTAAGAGGCAAATGACAGTAAGCAATAAATCCACATAGACTTCTGCACAGTGATTTCTTCATTCTTGTCCTAAGTTTTGTTCCTTCCTGCAGTTTTCTCAGAATTTTGGTGTCTTGCCACTCAGAGAAATACCCTTCCCYCAACACACACACACACCTACTTTATCCTCTGCAATAATCTAGGCTGAAGAAAATTCATTTTCTTAAAATATTTTTTTAGTTGTAGATGGATACAATATCTTTATTTTTTATTTGTTTTTATTTTTTTATGTGGTACTGGGGATTGAACCCAGTGCCTCATCCATGCTAGGCAAGTGTTCCACCCTTTAGCCACAACCCTAGCCCTTAAGGAAACTTATTTTTAACAAGGTAATATTTTCTACAGTACTCCAATCATCTCAGAATTGTTTCAAAATCAACTAGGATACCAATTTGAAATAAAGATTTAATGTATCTCACCCCATATCTAACATCAGAATCTCTGAGGGTGGTTTGAAGTTCTGCACATTTTCCTGTACATTGGTCTTAAGGGATCACTGAGCAAAGGGGGAAAGGTCATTTTTGGACTTTTCCAAAAGGAAATAATGCCTGCCTCATTGGTTATTGTGAGAACATCTATGTAAAGTAACTGCATAGTAGGTGAGGTTAAAAAAAAGGGGGGAGTCAACTTTTACAGTAGTGCCTAGAATATGATAAGTGCTCAATATCTGTGATCAAATGAATTCAATAACTGCATTTTGTGGGTGATCCTACCTTCCACCCAAGGCCAATCTCAATATTTTCACTTTTAATAAAAACAAATAATAACCCCAAAATCATTACGAAGGATGTTACTTTTGCTGAATTTATTTTCCAAGAAAGTAACATGAAAGGTTTTGCATTACACAATGAAGCTCCCCCATAACCTTTTAGAAGATGTTTCTTGAATTTCCACTCCCTATGGCAACTGCCACTGCCCTCCCCTAACCTGTCACTCCACCTTTTCTTTCTCTTGAGCGACTCTCCTCCAAGTATCTCTGCTTTCCTCCCCTTCTTAGGCCAAACTCCAGCTGATCTTTCCCACACTGGAAGTCCACTACAGGTCTGTCCCTTGGAACACACAGGGCACTCATGGCCTTGTTTCTCCAACTGTACTCCCATTCATCAAACGGCTCAGCAGATCCAAGTATCTTTGCATCTTCCCCAGGATTCACTCTCCCCAGGCTGCTGGAGACAGGGTAGGATGAAAGAGTAGGCTTAAATATTATTGATTCAGTTATTTTCCCCAATCCACTTAGAAGCTTAAAAATTCTTTTTATGCATCATTAGAAATAATATCTTCAGGTTGTGGCTCAGTGGTAGAGCACTTGCCTAGCATGTGTGAGGCACTGGGTTTGATCTTCAGCATCACAAATAAATAAATTAAATAAAGGTTTAAAAAATATAACATTTTAAAAAAAGAAATAATGTCTTTGGTTTAACTCCAAAGCAGATGAATATTTTTGCCTTGAACCAAATAAAAAATTTCTAAGTGGCCTTAAGGTAAACAAATGTAAATAAATTACACTGTTACAATCCCTGCAAGAGATTGAAAAGGATGGAGTTTAGTTTCTGAAGCAGTGGTTCCTAGATAGGCAAAAAAAATACATGCTCTATCTTGAAAACAGTACCATCCTTGCCTAAGTACTTAAAAGTGAAACAAAATAAGTCCACTCAAGGATAAACAAGGGTTCCTGGAGAGCAAGGCTATTCCTGGGCTTTTGGCAAGGGGATAGTGTTGACCAGAAGGTTCTGGGAATCATATTTCAAATTACTTTTATCACATTTTCCCCAAGGAGAAAATGAGAAAACAACTGGTTGGAAATGAAAGATTACCTTCCTAGCTCTCTGGCAAGACATTGTGTGGCTTCTTATCTCTTCCTTATCCTGTGAGATATTTTGTAACTATTCCTTAAAAAAAAAAAAAAAAAAAAAGGAAAGAAAAAGAGGCAGATGTGGTGATGATGCACCCTTGTAATCCCAGTTACTTGGGAAGCTGAGGCAGGACTGCAAGTTCAAGGCAGGCCTGAGTGATTTATCAAAACTGTGTCTCAAAATAAAGGGCTGGGATTGTGGTTTAGCAGTAGAGTGTGTGCCCAGCATGTGGGAGGCCCTGGGTTTGATCCTCAGCACCACATAATAAATAGATAGATAGATATTTAAAAATAAATAAATAAATAAATTTTTAAAAGGGCCARGCCTGTGCAAGGTTCTGGGTTTGGTTGGAGAAACACAAGAAAGACGGGGCACTTCCCCTACCATGTTTTAGAAAATAGAGCCCAAGAGTATAAAGAAATAGCAAGTAGAATATAAACCTGACTGATCAGGAAAATACATATTAAGCATTGAGAGGAATTTGTCCCACAGAATCCAATGGGCTGGCTTTACTGTGTTATTACGCTTCCTGCTTTCATAGTTCAGTGTCTGGATTCCTCCTTTCTTGCTTCCAGGCTTTTGGTGGAAGTGAATCATCATTT